TAGTGGTCAGTGAGCTATTTTGCTAACAGACAACCAGATGTGAAAGGATAAAAGGTTGTTTTTTTTTACAACTTTAGTAAAAATATATCCACCACATTTTGAACATAATTTGAGTTAACACCCTATTTTAACAATTTCAACAATGTGAATAATGTTTGTCTTCTTAGTGACTGATGTGTCATAGTTAGCTTAGGTTTGGTAGCTTCTCAGGTTTAGCCCAGACAAGATTTTTTTGTGAGAACTTAGCCAACCAAGAAGGAAGTGGAAATTGATGTAGTGAAGAAAAAAAAACACGTTTTCTTCAAAATGAAGGGGGTAGAAGGCAGAAATGACTGCAATTTATCAACTGAATAGCTTGCAGGCCATGACAGCCACCCTAACAGCCTCCTTCTGAAATTACAGCACACGCACAACTTTTTTTTATGTTGCGTCCTTCAGCGAGCCCCAACTCGCTCTCATTCAACATGTTTCATTGTTGCTTTGACACCAGCTGCACGTTTGTTCTGTTCACATCCCTTCAGTACAATCCATCGAGCTATATGTCTCAAAAATAAAATTAGTATGTAATTTCAGTAAATGGATAAAAAAATCTGTGTTCATAGATCTGATTTCTGACAGACATGAGAGCTGCTGTGACAGTTGTGCTAAAAATGTTTTAGCTGCTTGGATATTTCCATTTTGAAGTATCCCTGTTTTTATTGCCTGCTAAGCAAGTTTAGACCACGTTTGTGTCATTTTTCTGTATTGTTAGCAAAATAACTAACAAACCACAAGATGGATTTCAATGAAATTATCAAAGACACGCCTAAAAGATGACTGATCCAATTAAGCAATGTTAGCAAATGCAAAAAAAGCTATAATACGGCAAGTTCCACAGATATTAATCTCAATTTTGGTAATGTAGTAGTTGAGATGTATCACCATCACAGACTCTGAGCACCAGACCTGCAATATTTTTGCCTTAAACATTAGCCATTTCCACTAGTTTCAATCATGTCTGTCTGTTAGCAAAATATATCCTGACCTGATGAGTCTTAATGAAACTCTCAAATTATCATATCAAGTAAAAGTATGTCATTGGCTATACCTCTAACTAACTAACTATGACTAAGTTTTGGAGTTACCCAAGTTTAAGATGGCTACCACATCTAAGCAACCTTAACAAACACAAAAAATGTCTATAAGTCAGTCAATTTTCGATGTTTTGGGCTAAGATTTGTCATAACAGTTATAACAGTACCTTTAAAGTCATGCCACACTAAGCAGCATTTTCTCTTAAAACTTTGACTTTACCTGTCAGAGTCAACATGGTCTGAAACTCTCAGAAATAATTACTGTTTGTACATCGACAACTCGCTGACATTTGGAGTCAACCTAATTCAAGCTGGCTGCCACAGCTAACTGAATATAGCCAGTATATATGAGTCAATGACTCAGTCAATTTATCAAATATTTAAAAAAAAGTGTGTGGTAGCAGCCGATAGTCATTCCACTAAAGGTCTTTGACTGTAAATTGGTCTCACATAATTGCATGAAATCACGCATAAATATTTATAATMTGTGACCAAAATGGCCTTCACTCCAGGAGGATTTTAATCCTAAAGCAAGGCATGAAAGGTGGTGTGCTATATGCACTCCTTCAAGGAATTCTAGGCCTTTGACCAGTTTCAGTCTCAGCCTGTTTGTTACGTCTGTGTTGCACAGGAAGGGCACTACTTTGCTTTAGTTTTGTTTTCATTTTCTTTGTTTCATATTACAAACACTTGCATACAGGAAAAAAAAGAACATAAACCCTGGCAAGCTGTCCCAGCAAACAGTGAAATAAATTAAATAGAGCCAGAACGTGAGGCTTCGGCAGAAATGACACGAGCTTTATCACACTGTGAAAGCCAATCAGCTAATACAGTATGTGCCGGCCATCTGGATGTTACCATGGCGATCTGCTGGCCGGTCAGCGCCCACATATTATTATTTTGAAKGCCAACATTTTCAACGAGGAACCTGCTCTCGTCTGTTTAACAGTCAGCCGTGTGGATCCGAGTCGAACAGGCTTTGTGGCTCTGACCCCGGGGTCAGGATTGGGTTGGAAGTTGTGCTGTTTGGGCTGTGGGAGCTGTCAGGTTTGGAACAGTGTGTTCCCTGCAGCCAAATGGGTCAGGACCGCAGGGGTCTCAGCCACTGAGCTGGAAACAACCCACTCACAAGCCTCATAGTTGCTTTTTCTGTCTCTTTTTTTCTTCTCTGTCTGCGTGTGTTTTCCTCACAGTGAGTTGAAGATGTTTGGTTGTGGAACATGGGTCTGTAAATTTTTACATCTAGAGGAGCTATTTTCACCATCTCTCCTATTAAATAAAATTTGTAAAAAGCCCAAAAAGTTACTTGACTCCTAAAATGAAGACAAAACAATATAAAAGGATCCATTTTTTACACACTGTATACATAAATGCAGCTGATTCATCTTTTTGGATGACATAAAATCAATCAATTGTTTAAGCAAACAAGACTCCTGCATGGTTGTGAGAATAAGTTGCTGTTGTTTATGTACTTGCAGTTTCAGTAGATTTCTCATATTTAGCTTTGTGCAATGTGTTGTAGTGGTGACTTAAAATCCATGCAAGACAGCGCCCCTAAGCTGACTATTTGCTTTAAAATTCTGTGAACAGATAGTTTACCCCACCCCACCCCCAAKCCTGAAAACAAAATAAACTTAAAAAAATAAAAACACTGAAAACTTCTCTTGAGATGCTTTTGCTTGACTTTTTTTTTTAAGTTAAAAAAATATCTCTGCCATATTGATGTCACCTGTGGACAGGGGCGGCTGGTGATTTTTCTCCGGGGGGCTACAACTCCAAAATACACATATCTCAAAAAGCAGTTAAGCTTGTACTAAGTTGTAAAGTTGTTTCACACCAGTGTATTAATTAAACAAATCCAAATAATAAAACAGTCATGTAGTTTTTATTTTTGGTACATAAAATTTGCTCTTCTGTAACTGAGAAGCAAATTTCTTCATGACTCTGGTTGAAGTCAGGGATGTTTTAAGAAGATTCTTCTCTATAGAGCATGGTCAGTGCAGTGAGATGTGATGTTGTACCTGAGGAAAGTCTGGATTCTCTTCAGTGATGAGAAGCTCCTCTCAGATTCAGCTGTGGTCAGAGGAGATGTGATGAGAGTCTTCAGCAGAGTCACAGTCTCTGAAGGTGTCCTGCAGATTGTTGTCCATGAAGAGCTGGTACAGAGCCACAGCACCACTGCAGCTCCTGAACTACATCAGACTTCTTGGTCCTGTCCAGCACAGGGTGAGCCTCCGTGGTCTTCAGAGCTGCTTCAGAGAACCGGCTGTGATCCTGCAGGAACCTGTCTGCAGCAGTGTAGCTCTGATCAGATGTTTTCTGAATATCTCAAGATGTGTCACAAACCTAAAACAATAAACGCACAAATTTATGAAGATGGCTACAAGTGAGCTTTCTAATATATATTTAATAAATAGAGAACAATTAATTTTATTTTAATAGCAACAAATTGTTGCAACTCTTGAGGTAAACTTATATTTTTGTTTTAAAAATGTATTTTTTTCATTAAAAAGCAAAATAAACTCTATGCACATTACAAGAAAAAAAGATACAATAAAATGAAAGGCAGCAGAAAGAAAATATCTTCTATCTGCCAAAAACAAACAACATAAAAATATTGTATTATATTATTTTAAGTTGTGTTCACCTTATACTATGATTAACAAGCATTACAAAAGTATTTTAGCTTTTCTCTTACCTGTTTTAATCCATGCTGGATCAGATACTGATGCTTGAAAAACGTTGGTTACGTACTGTAACCCACTACCGGTTGTGTGAGGTCAGCTACGGGGTGGCCACATGCTGCGCCGCAGGCCACCCTATTATTTTGCATTGGGGACTTAATGTGCATGTCCAAAATCTTACAATGATTTGTCTATGGGAATCTGGTGCGTTGAACCGCTCGTGACCCAGAAGTGACTCAACACAAAAAAGCTCATGAGTAAAATGGAAGTTTACACATCAATAACTCTAAATTATGTATTTTACTTATCAGAAAACATATACACGAGGDTTTTTTGAAACATTTATGACATTTTATTTTGTTATTTTAACTTATTTAATTTTTTGTGTACCACAAATAGTGGTGGGGCGGTGCCCTAGCGCCCCCTATTGACCAGCCGCCACTGCCTGTGGACCACATCCGGCACACGAGCCACATATTGCCCATCCCTGATCTAGAATAATAATCTACTTATCTACCCATCACCTGTTTTCCTTCCCTCTTCTCTCTTACATCTGAGCTTGCTGAAGGTTTCAAACTGCAACCGATGTCAGACGTTTGCGCTCGAAACCCTGACATCAGGATTCTGTGGTCAGTTTTAACTTACTGCTGGCTAAACACCAACGGATTCACATGCGGCGCTCACTTGTGTCAGTTAGTGTTTGCTCACAGGGAGACGATGACAGACGGACAAGCTGGAGCGATGGACTCTGGAAGTCTAGTTCATTCAAACACAGCTGTTCGCGCACTGCTGAGGAGAACGGCTCCTTTAAAAACGATTTGGCTTGTGTGATGCTGTTTGCAGGGCCATGCTGAAAATGAAAAGCAGATTATAGAATCACAGCACTTATTTATATTCATCACAGTSATTTACGCTGAAACAGAATATGAGAAACTACAGCCGTTACTGTAATAAACAGCGTTTCTGTTTGTATGAGATTTCAAACTTTTTGCCTTTTTTAGAGCGACTTCAAAAAGCTGCCTTCCTATTCTCCCCACAAAAAAAAAAAAAGAAAAACCTGAAAAGAATGTTAATGAGAAGTCATGCTTCGTTTTTTATAGCTGCCATATCATCTGCATTCATACAAATCATCTTTATCTCTATTTGGGTTTTAATTTCCTGTTTGGCCCTTCTGCTTGCGATGTGATCTCCTCCCGCCTCAACCCTGTTGACACTTGCTCCTCTCCCCTCTCTGTTGCTGCAGACGGYGCTCCGCTGAGCGAGCTGTCCTGGCCTTCTTCTCTAGCGGTCGTGGCCGTCTCCTTCTCCGGCCTCTTCACCTTCGTCTTCCTCATGCTGGCCTGCCTCTGCTGCAAGAGGGGGGACATCGGCTTCAAGGTGAGCTCCACGCTGACCCCAGCTGGACGTGTGGGGGAAGCAGAGGAGTGGGGGTGACACAGAGGAAGGGTCTTGATTTGCTGGCACAAAGTACATTTTTTAAAGCAGTTTCTTATGGACAAAGCTGTCAAAATGTTAGAATAATTGTAAAAATATAATGTGACAAATGTAACAC